ATACTGTCACCCAAGCCACATTTCTCTGTCACACTCATAGGAAAATCACAACATACTGTCAGAGGCCACAGAGGAAAATCATTCCAAAGTGACCAGGGCTTGGTCTGGCCCAACTTGGCCTGGGGGCAGCCCACAATGGCTACTTTCTCCCTGAGCATCACATGCCATCTGCTCCCTGGGCCACTGCCAGCACAGCTGGGCACCCTGTCAGAGCTGATAGTCCACTGGACAGACAGCACGCCCACACCCGCCCTAATGAACTCAGCCCCCAGAGGACCCCCAAGAAGTTGACCTATTAGTTCCAGTGTGTACCCTCCCAGGGCGTGTGTACCTCCCTTGGCGTGTATGCATGAATATCCCCTCATTTTACAAGAACAGTAGTATCCTATTTATACCAGTCTAGTTTACCAAAGTAATACAGTTAAATAGGTTAAAATGCAAACAGTATTATAAAGCTCATGATTAAAATCACTAATACCCAACACCCCACACAAAACCTCTCTACCCCTGTTCCCTGAGGCAGCATTTTACAAACATTTTGCTGTTTCTCTTGTTTTTTACTTAGTATTTATATAGTGTTTCTAAATACTGTGCTGCTACTCCTGTTTATTGTTATTTTTTAATAGAATTATCTTGTGACCTCCTAGTATAAAAGAAGAGGACTTGTTTCTTTTCCTTCCCACCACTTCCCAATAGCAAACAATTTGCCTAAATCAATATTCAGTGTTTATGTTATCGGTATTATATATGTATTATTCAAACATAGCTCACAGCTGAGTTCCCCAGTGCGGAATGATTACATTTTCTTTCTTGCAAGGCTTTTTGTTTTCCCCAGAGTTAATCATCAGTTCGTTCTTTGGTTTGGTTTTTTGTTTGTTTTGCTTTTGGTTTTTGCTTAGGTTTCAGTACACCTATCATTATTTTATACCCAAACTTTCTGCAGAACTGTAAAGTTCCTCTCAATACGATATATACATCACATGAGCTATAGGTTGATTTTGTTTTCTTGGAGGTAGCACTCCGGGAACCCCTGATTCCTTAATTCCAGACTGGACTGATTGCTTTCCAGGCCCGCGGCATAATTGTCATCCTTGGACTTCCCTTGAGTGACAGGCCTTCCTCTTTGTTTCCCGGATTCTGTGTCGTCTTTTTTCTTGGCTTACTTACTAGTTTTAATGGAGCACAATCTCTAAAAGCTTCTCAAGAGATAATTTTTTTGAATTTGCATGTTAAAAAAATATTGTTATTCTACCTTCACTCTTGATTAATAGTTTAGCCAGGACTTAATTGTAGATTTGATTTTTTTTCCTTAGAATTTTGAAGGTGTTTAGCCATTGTCTTCCAACCTAAGTCCATAGCTGTTCTGATTTCTGGTTCTCTTGTATACAGTCTGTGTTTTTCTCTGTGGAAGCTTTTGGGACCTTCTTATTGTCGTCGCTGGCATTCTGAAATATCGTGGTGACATGACTGAGTGCACGTAGGCTGTTTTTTATTCTTTCCTCAAATATCTGGTGTCCCTTGGCTTTCATAATTGGGATTCACACTTACAGGGAGGCTCCAGAATGCTGACCAGAAGCTCACCCTGCTCTTCGCTGTGGCTGGTGGCCCTGAGTCAGGGGCCTGTCTGGCTCCAGCCCCCTCCAGATGGTTGGCCCCTGTCTCCTGCTGGGGTGGGGTGGGGTGGGGCGGGGTGCCGAGTGGATTGCAGGGAGAGGGAAGGAATCTCATTAGACTTTCAGTGTCCCTTTCTGTTTTCACCTGACCCTGCATCCTGCATTCAGAGGTTCCTGAGCCTTCCTGGATTCTTGACTCCCTCATCCAACCCCTGCAAGGCAATTTTCTTTCAGTTTCCTGCTCAGCTAAGTCTAGATCACGGCTCTGTGTGCTTTGCGCTTTTGAAATTTTTCTTGACCTCTCTCATCTGCTGTCATTGCTTGTGTTCTTTTTGTCCTTATGGGTTTCTTTATTCTTTTTTTTTTTTTAAAAAATTTCTTTACTCTCTTTTTAGTAGAGGAAACAGAGATAAAGGAAGATGCTCTGATCTCCATGTTAACTGGAAGCCCCCTGAACTTTGCTTCATAACTTAATAATATACCTTGGAGATGGCCCCCTAGCAAACATAAAGCCCCTCCTCCTCTTCCTCCTCTGTAAGGGCAGCATCCCACTGATGAATGTGTCAGCATTTATTTCATCCATGCCCTTTTTTTTTCTTTTTTCTTTTCTTTCTTTTTTTTTTTTTTTTTTTTTTGAGATAGTCTTGCTCTGTCACCCTGGGTAGAATGCAATGGTGTCATCATAGCTCACAGCAACCCCAAACTCCTGGGCTCAAGGGATCCTGCCTCAGCCTCCTGTATAGCTGGGACTACAGGCAGGTGCCACCATGTCTGGCTAAATTTTCTATTTTTAGTAGAGATGGGGGTCTCACTCTTGCTCAGGCTGGTCTCGAACTCCTGAGTTGAAGTGATCCTCGTGCCTCAACCTCCCAGAGTGCTAGGATTACAGGCGTGAGCCACTGTGCCCGGCCGCACCTGTGTCCTCTTGATGCAAGTGCACTGGCCTGGCCAAAGTGTCTTTCCCATTTTGATTCTGGACATTTTAGTGTCTTTAGCCTTGGCTGGTCCTCTTCCATTCCTCAAAGCTCTTGCCACTGTGCCACATCCTCAGCTGCTCCCCAGGGTGTAGTCTCCTGGGTCTGGAGACTCACCTTGGTTTGAAGCCACAGAGAGCTCTCTCTGATACCACCCCCACAGCTTGGGCGTTGGAACGTGTCTGCTATGGAGAAACAACAGCAGAGTAGGAGTCAGGCCCTTCACCCTCCACTCTGCCTCCCTCATGCAGTGGCATCTGCATGCCCCGTCCCAGCACTGACCCACTAATGTTATTTGAGTCCCCAAAGGGTGGGAGCCCCCAAGGGCAGGCATGGGCCCCTTGTGCTCAGGAATGGAGCCGTCAGAAGAAGGGGTGAGCCGGAAAGAGCTCTGAGAGGAGCTTGTTAGAGAAGCTCGCTGGAGTGGAGCCTTCCCCGCAGCGCCCAGCAGGACCTGCCTCCCCAGCAAAACCCAGATCAAGCTGGGCTCTTCTGGGGGGAAACGTGGCTTCAACCAGGATGGAAATAGGCTGGAAACAGCATCTGGGCAGAGGCCATCTCAGGGCCTAGGTGGGCAGTTCAGAAGGAAGGAGTCCCTGAGCCCGGCTTGCTTCCAAGGAAATGTTTCTCAGAAGTCCAACAGAGACAAAGGACAATGGCGGATGATGCTCAAGACAGAGCACTTGAGCCCCTCCCATCCTCCCTCTTCTCTGACCGCCCCCACCCCTGTGCGCAACTCCAGGCATATACAGGGAATCCCCAGGACCAGAAGAATACCACTGGAGGCCCCTGGGGTGGGAAGGGGAGCAGGCGTGGCCCTACTCCATCGCTGAGAGTATAAACTGGTGCACCCCTTTGAAGGACAATATGATCATCCCTCTCAAAGTTCCAGCTGTACCTACCCCTTGTCCAGCATTTCTATGGCTAGGGACTTCTCTCATGCATTTACTCTCACCTGTTGGATAAGCTCTTTGCACATAAATGTTTAATATAGCATTATTTGTAAAAGTGAAAACCATAAACAACTTAAGTGCCCATAATAGGCGGTTGGTAAAATGAATTATGGTTCATCCACACGAAGGAACAGCTCACAGCCATTAACAAAGAATGAAGCAGGTTTCTGTGTGCTTTGTGTAAAAGTGGCCAACATGAAAACTCAAAACAAACAAACAAAAAGGTGCAAAGCAGTGTGAATAGAATAAATGCTACCGTGTGGATGGGGTACAACTGCAGACGGATACACACATAGGTTTGTGCCTGGGCAGTTGTTCTGGAAGGCTGCATGATAAACTGACAGCGAGAGGAGGCTGCCTTCAGGGAGAAGGATGGGGAGGAGAGAACAGAGACATTGGCTTTTCCTTTGGAACTTTTATACGATTTGAATTTTCTAGCCATGCTCACATACTACTTTTTTAGATTTAATTTTATTTTTATTCATGTGTTACTTTTTAAAAATAGCAATGGGGTAACAGGATATGGGTCATTTGGAGTTTTGTCATATGTTTCTATATTTAAAAAAGTGAGTGAATATTATTTTTTTAAAGGGAAATATTATAACCCCGTGACTGTCCCTGGTTTCTGTAGCTCTCTGTGTGCCCTGGTCATCCCTTATTCCCATTTATAACTGGACAGTCTCATGCCTGTTGCAAAGTTATCCCCTGCCCTGAGACCCTGAGTGGAAACGTGGCTCCCAGTGGGACATGGTGCCCGGGGATGGTGAGTCTGAGCAGAGGAGAAGAAGAGAGGGGCTCAGGCCAGAGGGTAACAGTCCCTTCACTCCCACCCTCCCTCCCTCCGGAGTGCCTCTGTGAGCTCATTTGTTCATCTCGCAGGTTCTGTCGAGCACCTGGCCTGGCCGAGCGTGCGCACATCTCGCATGCCGTTCACTCCGCTACTCCACAGGGACAGCATTCACGGCACCTCCGTGCTGTCCCTGCTTGTGGGGTTGTCTTTGGCGGGGAGTCTTCCCCAGGGGACAGGGCCTGTGTCACGATGGGACTGGGAGAGCATACCTCACACCCCTGGTGCATCGTTGGGGTCTGGCACATGGCAGGCACCGGGAGGGGCTCAGGAGGGCTGAGCCTCAGTGGCGCATCCATGTTTCCCAGCCAGTGAGCAGCCACAGTGGACTTCAGACCGAGTTCTAAGTCCTTCCCTTGTTTTCCTCATTATGGCGAGGAGGCTCTGTCCCGTTCTGTGATCCTAGGAGGAAGCCCCGCCTCGGACCCCAGGACAGGGAGAGCAGCCTAAGGCCTGGCTTTTCATTCCACTCCAGTGGGGTCCCTCTCTGCCTGCCCTGTCCCAGCCTCCTCCCCAGGGCTGAGCAGGGACCAGAAGCGGCTGCTCCGGGCAAGAACCCAGCTCAGGGGGCAGGAGCAGAGAGATGGAAGAGGGTGTGGGGTCCTCTACTCACCACAGAATTTCATTTCTGGTCAGGAAGGTCAGGGCCTGCAACAAATCACAGAGAGGTGACCTGTCCACTCAATCCAGCCCTGCCCTGGCCCCTTGGGGAGTGGGGCAATGGAGGAACCATTCTCTCGGTGCACAGCTGGGGCACTGGAGGAAACCCAGCCCTAGGTCAAGAGCGCCTGGGGTGGCAGCAGAGGAGGAAATGGTGCCCTTCCTTCTTCCCAGTCTGATGGCCCTGGGAAGGAGGGTGTTGGCACAGACCTAGAAAGGGGACCTGAGACAAGACTAGAACCCTGGGCTCTGCAGCAGGAGACAGATGGGGGAAGGTGGCTGCCTCAGGGACTAGTCTGGGCCACATGGATTCAGGCTTGGCAAAGGCAAGAGCCATCACTGTCCCACCTGGTGATGTCTAGAGCTTCAGGCCAGTTTCCTTATTCGTTCCACCCACCTTGGGGAACCCTCACCTCTGCCCAGAACCTCTGTCCTGCTTACCCACCTGGTACTCTTCTAGGTCCTCCCAGTGCATCTGGTACCTCAAACATTGCCCCATAACCTCCCTTCTCTCTGCCGCAGTAGAACCTCAGCCCCAAGGGCTCACCAACTGGGGCAACCAATTGATCCAGTTGCCATGGTGACCTACATTCCACCTTCTGCCAGTCTACCTGAGCCCCTGAGTTGGCAAAGAAACAGCTTCTTTTCATTCCCAAGACTAAGAGACATCACTCCCAAAACAACAAACAGAAAGTCAGTCCACCGGCAGTGTTAAGAGTCACGCAGTCAGCTCAGGAGTCACATTGTTCGGGTTTGAATCCCAGATCTGTCACATGCTGACCATGTGACCTGGGGCAAGCTGCTTAACCTCCGTGTGTCTTAGTTTCCTTATCTGTAAAGTAGGGATGAGCCATGGGATTGTGTGAGAGTTAGTAAATACAGGCAACAATGCCAGGCACATAGTAAATATTCAATAAATATTAGCCATTAGGACCACATCCCAAGGACAGTGCCAGGTGTGGAGATAAAGAAATGAATAAGCACAGACCCTGACCTCAGGAAGTGGCCCCAAAGGCACAGCAAAGGGCAGGGTCCCTGCAGGAACAGAGGACACATTCAAATCAGGTAATGTGAAGAGGGTCTGATAAAGGAACTCTTCCAAAGGGGTAGTCAAGGAAACCACTGGCACCGTACGGAATCCGGGGCTAGTAACAACAGAGCTGCACCGGCCCTGGCCCAACGGTGCCTGGAAGAAATACGCCAGCGTCACTCTCTCCTCTCTCGCTGATCTTCTGCAGGGGCAGAAAGCAGGGTGCAGTGGGGTGGACAGCAAATCTGGAAAATCCAAGAAGACAGATGGCAGAGTCCAGCACAGCCACCAACCTTACAGGCCAGGAGTGTCCTCCGAAACCCATCTCCCCCTCTGCTGTCTCCAGGACGGGCTGCACGCCCACACTCATCGTGCAGGGGCTGGTCTCGCTGTTCTAGGACATGCCCTTCCTTGTGCTCTGCTAGGTGCACGTCCCAGTGGCTTTCTGAAGGAGCTGATTCATATCTCTGGAAATGCAACTGCCCACTTTTTCTGTGTCTGTCCTCCGTGGAAATGGCAAAGGAAAATCCAGAGCCCTCATTCCTTCGTTGACTCAACAGAGGCAGAGTATCTCCAATGTGCCAGGGACTCAGCTTGACCCTGGGGGAGAGATGACTGAGCATGATCTCAGCCCTCAAGAAATGAATGTGCCACACACGCACCCCAAGGGCGACGAAGGCAGACGTCGCAGACAGATGATGGTCCAGAGTGGTGAATATTTAGAAGAGGGATAGCTGGGCAGCAAGTCTTCATGTAGGTGGCAGCATTTAAGTGGTTGCATAATGTGGTGGTTAAGAATATGAGCTCTGGAATATTAAAGGCCTGGCCGTGTCACTTCTTGCTGCATGACCTCAAGCAAGTCATAAAACCACTTTGAGCCTCAGTTTCCTCATCTGTAAAATGGGAATGATAAATCCCTACTTTATAATTATTGCAAGGATAAAATAAAGTGATGTGTTTAAAGCTCTTATTTGGCAAGATACCTGTACATACTGAGTTCTCAATAAAGGGTAAGTAATATTACTTTTAAAAGTGGGGCCCAGAAGAAATGAAGGACTTTCTCAAGCAGAGTTGGTAATTAAATCCCATCATCTGCTAAGCCCTTTGAGCTTCCACCATCATGGATTGATCAGCTTCGGTCTGCCAAGCGTGTCCACACTGCGCTGGTGCTGACGGCAGCTGTGTGAGGCCATGAGTGTACATCCCTCCCTCGCCCTGGGCAAGGCGGAGCTGGTGAGGTGAGGTGATGCCCAGGGGCCATGCAGCCGGCAAGCCAGGGAGTTGCAGATCTGGGGGTTCCCTAGGCATGGGGTAGGAAACCCCAGGAAGCCGGTAACCTGCGGGATCACACCCCAGGAGGTCACTTCCTTCTCACGTCTTGCTCAGTCCTCTTGGTTACATCGAGGCGAAGTGGCAGCTTGGCACAGGCTGGTTGTGACTTTAACACTTGGCTCTAAGAGGAAAACAAAATCAAAGCAGAGAACTGCCCTGCAGCAACGAGCGTTTAGCTACTGACTCAGCCACTATTTACTGAGCCGGGCAGTGGAGACAGAGGTGCCCGGGACAGACAGCACCCTCCCCCAACCCCCAGCCAGCGCACGAGCTGTGGAAGAGAGAAAGCAGGGACTGGGTTATCGAAGCTTCCTGAGGAGGCACCGCTGGAGCCAGGCTGAGAAGTCGCGGGCAGTTTTCCAGGTCCGGAAGGCAACCGGATCCGGCCGGCATTTAATAACGCTGTTTGGCTTTCATTCTGTGTGTTTCTATGGTATCTTCCACTTTGAAGGTGATGCAGGTTTGCCACTTATGACTGGGATATAAGGTTTCCTTTATCTGTTTCATTAAAAGAAATAGGGGCCCATTCAAAGAAAAATACTAAGTAAATAATTACACAGGTGGAATTACACACACATAACTAAGGTTTTCGAACACTGCTAGCCTCTTCTCTCCTTGACTTTTCATCCCCAGCTCCCCAACTCCTGCCCAATGCCCCCCCCCCAGGCTCTGTGATTTCATCCTAGAAAAGGTTTTCATTTTGTTTTGTTTTGGTTTGTTTGTTTGTTTGTTTTAAGACAGAGTCTGGCTCTGTTGCCCGTGCTAGATTGCCATGGCATTAGCACAGCTCACAGCAACCTCAAACTCCTGGGCTCAAGTGATCCTCCTGCCTCAGCTTCCCGAATAGCTGGGACTACAGGCATGTGCCACCATGCCCAGCTATTTTTTTCTATTTTTAGTAGAGATGGGGGCGGGTCTCACTCTTGTTCAGGCTGGTCTCGAACACCTGACCTCAAGCAATCCTCCCGCCTCGGCCTCCCAGAGTGCTAAGATTACAGGCATGAGCCACTGCTCCTGGCCCAGAAATTAGCTCCTACAATAATACTAGTAACAATATCACCTTACATTTGCATATCCCTTTATCATTCCATAATGCTTCTCTCTGTACCGTCTAATTTGCCCAAGAAATAAAAGCCAATGAGGCTTAAAAAGGAAAGAAAGAAAAATCCTCCCTCCTTATGAGTCTGCCTTCAATACACTAAACCAACCAGCTCCCCACCCCTCCTCTCCAGCACGGAATTGGAGAGGGGTGTAACTGAGCAGGTTCCAGGGAAGGACTATTCTACGTCCTTCCCCTCCAGGGTCTGCCCCTGCAGGAACCTGCAACATGGGACAAAATGCATTTTTTGCAAGGTTTCTGTCATTTTGCAATGAACTCTACAGACTGCTAAAACTGCAATCCCTGTTCTGACCTTGATGTAGACGTCTCTTGAAATTCAAGAGGAGTTGAAAAGAAAGTTATATTGAGAATAAAATGCTTAAAGAATGCTAAAATTCAATAACTAAAAGGAAAATAATCCAACTAAAACATGGACAAAAGATTTGAATAGACCGTTCTCCAAAGAAGATATAGGAATGGCCAACAAGCACATGACAAAAAGCTCAACACTATTCGCCATCAGGGAAATGCAAATCAAAACCACGATGAGATACCACTTCACACCCGTGAGCATGGATGAGGTTTTTTAAACAGCAAAAACGAACAACAAATAGTAAATGTTGGAAAGGATAGAGAGAGACTGGAATCCTCATACATCGCTGGTGGGAATGTTAGATGGTGCAGCCACTTTGGAAAAGAGTTTGGCAGTTCCTCAAAATGTTACACAGAGTTACAGCAATTCCACTCCTAAATACACACTCAAGAGACATGAAATTTACATCCACACAAAAGTTGCACATGAATATTCATAGCAGCATTATTCATTATAGCCAAAAGGTGGGAACTGCCCAAATGTTCACCAACTGATGAATGCATAAATGAAATGTGGTATATCCATACCATTGAGTGTTATTTGGCAATGAAAAGCAATGAAGTACTGATACACGCTACAACAGGAATGAATGTCAAAAGGCCAGTCACAAAGGACTACATGCTGTAGGATTCCAGGTACAGGAAATGTCTGGAACAGACAGATCCATAGAGACAAGAAGTAGATTGGGAGCTATTGCCAGGAGCTGGGAGTGGGGAGACTGCAGTGTGACTACTAATGGGGAGGGGATTTCTTTTTGGGGTGATGAAAATATTTTGATATTAGATGGTATACAACTCTATGAATATGCTAAAAACCACTGAGTTGTACACTTTAAAAGAGTGAATTGTATGGAATGTCAATTGTATCTTAAAACTGTTATTAAAAAGTTTTCAAGATGTGTTTAAGTACTAAGTCAGTGCTTTACCGTAAATATTATTAAAGGAATGTGTAAATGAGAGAATGTATTTGGAACAGTGTCAGATCTGTCTCCTCAGCCTGAGTCCTGTAGGGGTGGGGGGTGGGGGGCTCCACCTACTGCAGTCATTCCATGCTGGGGCGAGTTGCTGCCCGGGTCTGACTGTCAACTGGACTTTTGTTTGAGCTCCCAGCAACTGAGCAGGTTGAAGGATTTTCTAAATTCCTTTGGCTGACAAGAAGCTGGCCTGGGGTTGCACATTGTAGTTTCTATAGGGACATCCTAGGCGAGGCAGAAGAAAAAGGGTGGCAGCGCTGCCTTTCCGGTCTTGGGGACAGAGGGGATGAAGAAGGCAGTGAGGAAACAGGACTGTCCAAGGTGCTCACTACCCAAGGATAAGGAGTGGAGCAGGGGTGCTTAGAAACATCCCTGAGCTCACTGGGTGGGGGCGGGGGCCCGCACACGTCTAGAACCTGCCTCGAGCTCTCGGTGAGGGGCCTTGACATTCAGAGAGCAGAGTGCTGGTAAGGATGTGGGGGGAAACGCAAGCTCTGGTTCTTGGGCAGGCAGACAGCAGTGACCCTGCCCTTTTACAACTTGCGTTAGACGTCCTGGTACCCCAAGTCACACCGTGATTTTAGGGGCTGCTGTTTGGACAGGTCCATGTGAGCTTCATCCATCTCCCACTGACCTCAAGGACTCTCGAGTCCTTATTTTCTGCCCCAGAACCTTCTGTATCAAGAAGCCTCCTCAGCCTATGGGTGTGCACAGCCCAGCAGTTGAGAATGACGCTCCCAGAGGTGACTCCCCACCAGTGCGGACGGGAGCTGGTGGAGAAAGGCTCCCTCACCCATATGTCTGGGTGACAGTTCTGGAGGGGTTCTATGGCTTTTCAGCAGGTCCCAGTGGAACCAGGGCCCTTAGAGACAGAGGTGACCTGGACACACCTGGATGCCCATCTGGGCTTCTCTTCTTTCCTGCCTCTCTCCCCAGCCCCTCACTCCTGCTTCCTGGGATTAGCTCTCAAGCTGCCACACAAGAGCCCTGGTTTTAGGCTCTTCTTTCAAGTGACGCCATGCTAGGTCACCCCGGTACTGTCAGGAACCTCTCATGATGCTGTCATGCATCTTGTGCTGAAAGTGGGGAGCAGCTATTTGAGAAGAAGGGGGAATGCAAAAACACTGGCTTTCTGGTGTGAGCAGTCCTGACTTTTCATTCTAAATTTCATGGACAAACCTTAAAGTTCATCTTGTCCAACGCCTTCATTTGACAGATGAATAGACCAAGGCCCCAGAGGAGCCCAACACACAGGAGATGACGGCAGAGCT